GCATGACAGAGGACTGATGGTAGCGCTCACCTTGTCTTCTTCGGACAAGCTTTTTTCCGGATGCCCCAAACAATCGGAAAGGGGATTCATCAGAGAAAATGACTTTACCCCAGGCCTCAGCAGTCCAATCCCTGTACCTTTTGCAGAATATCGGTCTGTCCCTGATGTTATTCCTGGAGAGAAGTGCCTTCCTCGCTGCCCTTCTTGAAACCAGGCCATCCTCCAAAAGTCTTTGCCTCACTGTGCGTGCAGATGCACTCACACCTGCCTGCTGCCATTCCTGAGCAAGCTCTGCACTGGTGGTGCCCCGTTCCCGCAGCTGAATCAACTTTAAGAGACGGTCCTGGCGCTTGCTGGACTTTCTTGGGCGCCCTGAAGCCTTCTTCACAACAATTGAACTTCTCTCGTTGAAGTTCTTGATGATCCGATAAATGGTTGATTTTGGTGCAATCTTACTAGCAGCAATATCCTTGCCTGTGAAGCCCTTTTTGTGCAAAGCAATGATGATGGCACGTGTTTCCTTGCAGGTAACCATGGTTAACAGAGGAAGAACAATGATTTCAAGCACCACCCTCCTTTTAAAGCTTCCAGTCTGTTATTCTAACTCAATCAGCATGACAGCGATCTCCAGCCTTGTCCTCGTCAACACTCTCACCTGTGTTAACGAGAGAATCACTGACATGATGTCAGCTGATCCTTTTGTGGCAGGGCTGAAATGCAGTGGAAATGTTTTTTTGGGGGATGAAGTTCATTTTCATGGCAAAGAGGGACTTTGCAATTAATTGCAATTCATCTGATCACTCTTCATAACATTCTGGAGTATATGCAAATTGCCATCATAAAAACTGAGGCAGCAGACTGTGAAAATTAATATTTGTGTCACTCAAAACTTGACCACTACTGTACAATATTTATTTTAAAAATTCTTCAAGCTCTGTCAAGTTGGTTGTTGATCATTGCTAGACAGCCATTTTCAAGTATAGTTTTAAGTCTAACTGTAAACTAGGCCATTTAGGAAGATTCAATGTCATCTTGGTAAGCAACTCAAGTGTAGATTTGGCCTTGTTTTTTAGGTTATTGTACTGCTGAAAGGTGAATTTGTCTCCCAGTGTCGGTTGGAAATCAGACAACCAGGTTTTCCTCTAGGATTTTGCTTGTGCTTAGCTCTATTCTGTTTATTATTTTTTTATAGTCCTTGCCGTTGACAAGCATACCCATAACATGATGCAGCTACCACCATGTTTGAAAATATGAAGAGTGGTACTCAGTGATGTGTTGGATTTGCCCCAAACATAAAGCATTGTATTCAGGACATAAAGTTAATTTATTTCCCACATTTGTTGCAGTTTTACCTTAGTGCCTTAAAGCAAGCAGGATGCTTCATGGTGAAATCCCTGAGCGGTTTCCTTCCTCTCCGGCAACTACGTTAGGAAGGACGCCTGTATCTTTGTAGTGACTGGGTGTATTGATACACCTTTTTTCTTCTTCTCATCTACCAATAGGTGCCCTTTGCAAGGCATTGGAAAACCTCCCTGGTCTTTGCGGTTGGATTTCAGTGCACGACTGAGGGACCTTACAGGTAATTGTATGTGTGGGGTACAGAGATGAGGTAGTCCTTCACTATTATTGCAAAGTTTTCTACTCCTGAACTTATTTAGGCTTGGCATAACAAAGGGGTTGAATACTTATTGACTCAACACATTTAAGCTTTTCATTTTTAATTAATAATTTTAAAAAATCTAAAAACAATTCCACTGACATTACCGGGTATGTATTGTGTGTCGGCCAGTGACCCAAACTCTACATTTAATCCATTTAAAAAATTGTAACAACAAAATGTGGAAAAAGTCAAGGGGTGTGAATACTTTCTGAAGGCACAATGAGGATGAGTAGTGTGCCATTTTAATTGTAATTCCATGATGGTATGAACATATGAGAATCATATTTTATAAGATTAAAGTGAGGAATATAGTTGTATTAGTTATACCTCAAAATGACTGACAGTAGATTAGTGAAAGCTAACCACTGAAGATGGATGCATGGAAAAAACGAGGCATGAAACTAAATATAAAATTCAAACATCTTTATATCTAATCCAGCAAAAATACAATGTCAACAACTTAAAAGACATCTCAATATTGGGATTAACACAGATAAATCAGTTATTTATTTTCCAATATACAAAATCAAGAACTATAAATATCCACAGTAAAGAATAAAACATGTTCAAGTTTGATATTTGGTGGGCTGCTTAATTTAGGTCTACTGTATGTATTTACCTACAGGGATTTCTTAAATAACAATATAAAACATGAATTATACCTTTTTGCATTTACAAATGATTAATACGTGAAATAACCATGATAAAAATAACTGTGCTAAAATGTGTCTTCTTTCTATTGACATACACAAACGGAGGTCAAGCTATTGTTGAAGTACGGAAGCGTCGCACAATGAAAACATCTTCCTGAAACAAAATATCATAATAATCTGAGAAATAAAAATAACACATGGCAGACAGGCTATTTCTATAACATTTGGATATATACTGAACAAAAATATAAACGCAACATGTAAAGTGCTGGTCCCATGTTTCATGAACTGAAATAAAAGATCCAAGAAATGTTCCATACGCACAAAAAGCGTATTTCTCTAATTTAGTGCACAAATTTGTTTACATCCCTGTTAGTGAGCCTTTCTCCTTTGCCAAGATAATCCATCCACCTGACAGGTGTGGCATATCAAGAAGCTGATTAAACAGCATGATCATTACACAGTTGCACCTTGTGCTGAGGACAATAAAAGGCCACTAAAACGTGCAGTTTTGTCACACGACAATGCCACAGATTTGAGGGAGCGCGCAATTGGCATGCTGACTGCAGGAATGTCCACCAGAGCTGTTGCCAGATAATTTAACGTTAATTTCTCTACCATAAGCCGCCTCCAACGTAGTTTTCGAGAATTTGGCAGTACGTCCAACCGGCCTCACAACTGCAGACTATGTGTAACCACGTCAGCCCAGGACCTCCACATCCGGCTTCTTCACCTGCGGGATCGTCTGAGACCAGCCACCCGGAAAGCTGATGGAACTGAGGAGTATATCTGTCTGTAATAAAGCACTTTTGTGGGGAAAAACTCATTCTGATTGGCAGGTCCTGGCTCCCTAGTAGGTGGGCCGATGCCCTCCCAGGCCCACCCATGGCTGCGCCCATGCCCAGTCATGTGAAATCCAAGATTAGGGCCTAATTTATTTATTTAAATTGACTGATTTCCTTATATGAACTGTAACAGTAAAATCTTTGAAATGGTTGCATGTTGCATTTATATTTTTGTTCAGTATAGTACTTACTGATCATACAAATATTTGAAAAGTAGAAGCATTTTCTTCAACAGTTCTCATATGGCCACCAGGGGTCAGTATACTGCAATATATTCCAAATAAATGGCAAACACTACCATACAAGATAAAACATATCCAGCCAACATTAGATACGTGTGGCTCCATGTAGCGTCATTCCCTGGTATCTGCTCTCAAACAGCAAACCCCCTTCCAAAACAGGTGACCAATGACATCTTCCAAGGGTTCATATCTTAAGTCGTTAATGCTCATACAGTTCAACACACAGAGGGGCACGGTAACGTGCATGCATAGTCTTAGTTAAAGAAGTTTCGGCAACAAATGCTAGCTCAGAAAAAACAAACAAAATAGCTTTTTAATAAGAAGTAGCTGAGGTGAAGGCTGCATTTCAAGAGTGGGCTGTTGTTGCACAGGTGAAAGACTGGAGTAACAAGAATTTTGATAAATGTAAACGCTACAGGCAGCTACAGCATGCAATAGCAGGTAATGATCACACCAGACCATTAAACTTTAACGGGAATCAAATAAGATGAGAAGGATCAGAGTTACAACATAACGAGGCAGGTGTAAATATCTCACACGGATTGCAACGGAAAAAAACCCTCCTTTGTTAACTTGGACAGTATTTGAAAGTTAAACACAGCTACGATAACATCGGTTATAAGGCTACATCTCTGAAAATAAATATCCCCAGAATCTAAAACAACAAAAAGACATGAAAAGAGAACTCTTCGGAATAACAGCCCATGATGAGAAGCTGGGTGGTTTTTATAGCAGGAAGACGGAGGAGAGTCGGGAACATGGGGGGCTGAACACATGAAGGGAAGTTGTGCATGAAGACGCACAGATCCACAAATCTGGTGCAGGCCTTGAAAAAAACGACCAGCTCTACACAATAACTGGAGAAGAGTTTAACATGTGAAGGACCACAACATGACAACGTGAGCAGACCTGCACCAGGTCCAGAAAGCTCCCTTTCTCCCTCTTCCCACAGTACATGTGTCTGGCTGAGAACTGAGGCTTCACCTGTTATCAACTCCTTACTTTACATCTGATAAATAAGGCACCTGATCAAAAAGTCACAAACACAACTCTGATTGCGAGATGGGTGGGAGACATTGATGAATATAGGCTATAATTCTAAGAGAATGTTCAGGTGAAACCTGGGCTAATTATAAACTGAACGATTGGCTAGCCATGCTGTGTTGCAGTCAGAGAACATCATCATTTCTTTCGTAGCAACATGGTGCTGATGTTTTCATGCCATTGCCACTAAACCGCACTATTTTTCAAACCGTGGTATAGACACTATTGAATATAAAAAACTTGGACAAACAAAGGTGGAGGACTCGACATGCTGTAGTCTGAATAACTAATCAACTCTGCATCAAACCAAAAAATAAAATGGCTTACATGTTTACAATGCAGATATCTCCATCTCCAGCCCAGTTAGACTAAACAAGACAAAACCAGTATTTTTCCTCTTTCTACAGCATGTCGATCTCCCTCCAAACGATAATTTACCAACACAGCTTGAGTAGCACAAACAAAAATAGGTACTACCAGTCCTTTCTATTATATTCCAGATAAAAATAAAAATATCACCAGCATGGCTGTTACAGTCCACGTCTGTGCACAAGCTTTATTTCTGTAGGGATGTCCTGGTGCGCTTGGCTGGAGTCTGTGGGCTCTCCTGGCTTCTCTTTGTGGCACCTTTAGGAGTTCCACTCTGAGCAGGTTCATTGCCTCTCTTTATGGCAGGCTTAGGGCTTGCACTAACAGTATGTGTAGGCTCCAGAGCTCTCTTTGTGGCACCTTTAGGAGTTCCACTCTGAGCAGGTTCATTTGCTTTCTTAGTGGCAGGCTTAGGGCTTGCACTCTGAGGGACAGAGGGGGGTGGAGTGGCCTCCATCTTCCTCTGTGACCTTGTGAGAACCTGGTCAGGAGAACCTGGTGTTTTGACGTCCATGTTCTGTTGAGTCTCTGCAGCACTTTCAGCGCCATTGCTCTCAGCACCTTTACTTTCAGTGACTTTAGTCTCAGAGACTCTACTTTGAGAGGGTCTCTTTGTTTGACCTTTTGTTTCACCTGCTTTTGTTGCAATAGTCTTATCCACTCCTGCCTTCTCTGCTCCAACCTGCTGTTTGTTAAAGTCATTCTTGGGGACGGTGGCAGGAGCAGGGGTGTTTTTCTGTGCTTTTGGGGTCATCACTCTTTGGGGAGACCTCTGTGGTGATGCACTCTCTTTCCTACCGAGATCCCTTAAGGTTCTACTGCTGCTGCTACTCTTGACTGATCTCTGCTGGACAGCAGCTTTTGCTGGAGTCTTTCTACTAGGAGATGGCTGCGCTCGCTCTGTTTTGACTACACTTGGCTCCTTTACACTTTTATCAACAGAAACCGATAATTTCTGCCTCTGGGCAGTGGCCGGTTTCAATTTAATTGGTTTTGCCAATTTTGTCTTTGGGGGTTTAGAGGGTTTGACTTTGGAAGCTTCGAGCTCTTTTCTTGGGGCCCTTTTCGGCTTCTTGGAGCTCTGTTGACCTTGCATCTTCTCCCTTATATTGGAGTACTTCCTCAGGATCCGGGCGCTGGCTGGGTTCTTGGCCTTCGCTGAGGCCTTCTGGCCGTCGGCTGGTTGTGCCTGTGCCTCTGCAGAGGAAACATAGGCTTTGGTGGAGATCCGAGTGGCTGTAGTCAGCTCTCTCTTTTCCTTCCCTTTGGGCGTACTTGTACTGACTTCCTGCTCCAGGGCTTTAGCGATCAGCTTCTGACTCTTAGGGTTGCTCTTCACAGGGGAAGCCATGGCAAACTTCTTCAAGTGTTTCTTCAAGCGCTCGGCCTGAAGGCTGGGGAAGACTCCTTGGGACGGCCTTTGGGACATACCGGGGAAGAGCAGCTGGGTCTCAGAGGGAAGACGCGTGTTCACCTTCTTTACGATGACCAGGGATTGGGTTTCTGTTGACTCCATGTACCAGCGGCAAATACTGGCTAGGTCCAAATCGTTCTTGAAAAGCATCTGGACTAGTGAGTACCTCTGATGATCCGAAGACTTGGGCTTGCGGACCCTGCGCTTACTCTTCCATATTGCTGCCTGTCTGTCTGCCTTGTTTTTGTGTCTGGGCGTTGGATGTCCCTCTTTGTCAATCTGGACCCAGCCTCTATGCATCTTCTCGAACTTGGTGTTCAGAGAAGAGATTTTCTGTTGGTTTTCCTCTACGTCTAGTAACTCCAGGAACTTGTTTCGAGTCTGTACTGGGAGCTCCAACTTGGGAAGGAGGAGAGGAGTGACTGACCTGGATGGCAGAGGGGAACTGACCAGCAAAGGTGAATCCCTCAATGGAGACTTGATGATCCTCTCTGGTTTGAACCTGATGGGTGATGAGAGTCTCACTGGGGATTTCAGCCTAATGGGAGATGCCACTTCACTCCATTTCTCAGCTGTGATTGGAGCACTGGTCGAGGGCGTGGGCGACCTCTGCACTCTCAAAGCTGACTTCCTGTTCTCCACCGGGGTCGGTGGGGTTGCCGGGGTAATGGACTGGCTGGCCACGTCAGTTTTATTACTCTCACTCCTCAAAGGCATTCGCCCAGGTTTTTCTGAAGCACTGCTGACAGAAGACCTGCTGGAATCTTCAGATGAAGTTTTGTTATCAATTGAAGTTGGTGCCTCTGCCTTCTTCAGCAAAGTTGGTTCCTCTGAATTCTTCAGGGAAGTCAATTTGCTTGATTCTCCCTCCTTAGGTTGAGCCAATTTGCTTGCTTCTCCTTCCTTTTTGAGAGGTCTTTTGCTTCTTAGTGGACTACTTTGTGCTTGGGCCTCACTCTTTTTAATGCTTGTACCCTCTGTGAGAGCAGAACCCTCACTGCTAACTTGCTGACTCTCAACCATGTCAACTTCAACTTCCTTTGCTACCATCATTGACGACCTGAGCTTTGGTCTAGTTTGCACCCTAGTTTCCTCTGCTGTTTTCTGTGTCTCGCTGGGTTTGGCTTTTGGAGCTGGCTGAGCTTTTTCAACTTTCAGCTCTGCAGAGCTCTGGGTAACTGCACTGTTCTGATCAGATGAAGGGAAAAGATGGGAGACGATCGGAAGAAGAGGAGAGCCAATGGGGAGAGGAGGGTTAAGCTCAGTGGAGGGGAGTGGGAGGGAGGTAGATGGTTCTTGGGGCACAATGAAAGTAACAGCCCCTTCAACAGGATGAGGCACGACAGGGAGGAGAGGGGAAGCGACAGGGAGGAGAGGGGAGGCGACAGGGACAAGAGGGGAGCCGACAGGGACGAGAGGGGAGGCGACAGGGGAGGCGACAGGGACGAGAGGGGAGGTGACAGGGACGAGAGGGGAGGCGACAGGGACGAGAGGGGAGGCGACAGGGACGAGAGGGGAGGCGACAGGGACGAGAGGGGAGGCGACAGGGACGAGAGGGGAGGCGACAGGGACGAGAGGGGAGGCGACAGGGACGAGAGGGGAGGCGACAGGGACGAGAGGGGAGGCGACAGGGACGAGAGGGGAGGCGACAGGGACGAGAGGGGAGGTGACAGCTGCTGCCTGTTGCAGTCTGGCAGATCTGAGGGGTTGTCTGGACTCAGGGCTCCTGGGGGAGTTGACTGGTGTGTCTGGGACTGGAGGAGTGTCAGGAATGCTCTGGCTTGCTGTTATAGGGGCAATAGGGGTCCTTGGTTCAGACAAGTTCTGGCTTGCTTCCGCAGGGGTCTTTGTGTCAGGCAAGTTCTGGCTTGCTTCCGCAGGGATCTTTGTGTCAGGCAGGTTCTGAGTGGTTTTAGCTTTAGGGGTTCTTTTGGGCCGTATGGACACAGGGGTTTTGGCAGAAGGGAGTGAGACTTGAGGAACCTCTGGCGTGTTCTCAGAAGGTTTCTCGGATTGTTTCAGGGAGGCCTTGGTGAGGCGCTTCGACAAAGGGCTTTTGACACTTTCCCCAGCAGGGACCGGGGTGAGAGGAGTCTCAGGTGAGACTTGTGGAATCTCAGACACGTTCTCAGAAGGGTTCTCAGTCTGTTTCAGAGACGCCTTATTGGGGCGTTTAGTCTTAGTAGGAGTAGACTCTGGGGTGGTTTTAGCTGGCCGTTCACGCAAACATCTGTCAGAATGTGCAATAGGTCTACCATTCACATATCCACATATAATCATATTCTCTGTATCAATCACTGCAGCTTCCTTCACCCTTGAAGGAATCACCCGTGCTGGAATACCCTGTTTTTCAGAACGCCTGAGAGGCAATTCTTTCACAACTGCATCATTTACCATTTTAGAGGACGAATCAACATGTGTCTTTTTCTCTTCAGGCACATTGTTACCGTCGCCTGGAGCCAAGTCTGGTTCAACCTTGCCCGTTTCCTGCACCTCTATCATTTCACTCTCTGCGGGAACCTCCATGCCAGCTTTTGCTTCTCCTCCAGAGCCCGCAGACAGTTTCTGGTCAACTGAACTTTGCGGTTCCAGAGGCTCTGCCTGCTCTTTGTCAATTGCACCTGCACTCACTACCTCTTTGTCTTCAGTGCTCTCCAGGGAAGAGGTCAGTGATGCGGATTCCTGTTGGGTTTCAATGACAACGTTCTGGCCCTCTGGCACACTCTGCAGCATATCCTGGACAAGCTCTTCTTCTGATGTCTTATCATGTGACGAGTTCACATCTTTCCCCATCAACACCTGCTCTGGGTTTTCACTTAAAACTATGTAATTGTGTACACTGTTTACATCCTGATCTGCCGTCTCGACCACAGTCTGATCTAGAATATCCTCTGGTGCTACGCTCTGCCTTGGCTGCTCCGAGTCTGTCCCTGCACTCTGCTCGTTCTCAACTGGGGGACTCTGTGAAGGAGGTGGAGGGGCAGTCTGCTCTTTGCACTGACTCGGGTCTGTCTGACTAGTCTCAACGATTAGCGCCATCTCACTGGCTGATGCTGCTGCAGCCTCTACATCTCCAGCCCCCTCAATTTCAGCTGGATGCTCCGAAGGACTTTTCTGACTGACCGTCTCCACAAAACCTCCAACAAAGGGCATATCCACAAGAGGTACACCCTCAGGCTTGCCAAGCACCTGTTTAGGGGTGACCAGAGTGATGAGCTCTGGCATTGGAGCGGGACAGTTGCCACTATCATTGCGGGCGGACGTCCTGGCTAATGTACGGACAGTCTTCAGCTCCCACATTTCCTCCACGTACATGTGACCTCTGGTGCTTTTCCTGGCGTTGCGGCGGGGGAGCAGTCGGTGCTGCCGTTCCCGGAAACACTCTGTTATTGGTTTGTCGATGTAGACTATGTCGCAGTGGCCGAGATCAGGGTCGGTTACAAACCGACACACTGAGGAAGTGTCCCTAGGCCGATGGTAGGAAGACCCCTTTATGGTCTTCCTTGCTGTCCCGGGGGAAACTGGGGGTATGTTGTTGGTGGTCTTTTCGGGTGGACTCTGTTTGACCAGCGTGTCTTTGGTATGTTCAAAGGAGCCTCTTTGTCTTGTTGAGCGATCAGCATGATCGTGCCTTTTCACAGAGGAGCCGAGTCCAGCGCTGTAAATATCTGCTCTGGTTGAGGAGTCAGAAATGCCCTGCTGTTCTTCCAAAGTACCGGCGCCAGCAGGAAGAGAGGTGGTGAGCACACAGGATAGCTTCTTACCATCAGCCAGGCTGCTGGACTTCATGATTTTGATCTTTAGCGGAGCATGGTCACTAATATGTTTACTTACACTGTCATCTGTGCTTCTGAACAGTGTTGCCAAAGCCTTAGACTCCCCTGGGACAGGTTTACGGAGATCCAAGGCCGGCCCAGCGGCCCCAGACAAATTGTGTAACACAGCAGTCTGCTCTGGGGCCACCAACCTGCTACCAACTGTTTCTCGCCCCTCTGTCGATCCTTTTGGAGTGGAAGCCAGGGGAAGTTTCTGGCCAGCCCTCCCCGGGGTCTCCAGGCAGGGTGCAGGGCTAGGACCCTGGAGGGCTCCATGCTCCACTGAGCAAGAGGGTTTGGAGGCAGAAGCTAGTGAAGTGCTGGAGGAGGATACTGCCTTGACCTAGAACAAGAACCACCATGGGGTTATTCAATACCTCAGCTTAGTTATTACAAAACCAGAGCCATTGAGAGGTTTATGGAATTGTTGCATTTACATTACAACCATATAATTAGGAATTAGAATACTAGAATGAACATTAAACTTATGACAGTATAAAAGGGCAGTCATTTTGATAAGGAAGCTGGTCAACCATGGTCAGCCAGTGCTGTGATAAGATAATGTAAAATATTATTTGCACATTATGTTTGCTAGCTAGCTAGCCAGACAGTTTTAGTGCAATTATTCCAAATGTTTTCAAATTAACTGCCAATATGCCAACATTCCATACAAACAATGCAGTCAATCCACAGCCACACACTGGCTGAAATCAGTTGTTGATAGGACTTAGACAAGTTGTAAATCCAACAAGTACTGATATTGTATCATATAATAACACACAGCATTCCAAGAAAAACAAACATTTAGACATTTATGGTCTGTTTACATATATTTTAGAGCAGGGATCATCAACTAGATTCAGCCGTGGGACGATCTTTTCTTGAGTGGATGGTCAAGGGGCCGGAACATAATTACAAATAATTTGTAGACTGCAAATTGACCTCAAGAAGCCCAAACAGATATAATATTTGGCTAAAACATAATCATTTCAAACCTTGTTGGCATTTGTATATGATCAAATATATCTCTCTACTATGCGTGGGAATACTTTGGAACAGATTTCCAAAATTAAAATCACTTGGAGCTGATTTGCCAGTGTTTATAGTCTTTTATGTAAAGCAATAATAAAAAAATACAATAAATAAAAATGTTCGGAAAACTTGGGGAGCCAAATAAAATCACAGCCAGTTGGGGAACCCTGTTTTAGAGGCCATTTATACAGAAAAAAAATATTGCTACACATTTGGTATAAAACCTGTATAAACTGTATTTATAATTATAGAACAATAATTTCGTGTGACAATTTCTGAAATACTAAATGCCTTTTATTTTCCTGTATAAGTAAAAGCAGGAAATGCATCACCTATACCTCTACTGCCATTAATTCCAAATTAGACTGGTTTGGACTTCTCCCTGACCAAAATGGCTCCCATTATTGTACCATTCTGGAACTTGTAGGGTTTATGACATAGAAATCCTATTAAATTACTACAGGGGCTATGACTACAACACTCTATGGCTGTCATGTTAGCGCTGCATTAACATTACATAGGGAATATTTAAATAATACTGTGTAACTGAATGTCTAGAATTAGAACAGAATTCAAAAAGTTGTCCCAACTCTCTATATACATGGCTCTGGACAAAACAATCACTCGACAGTGACTCAGTTTCTTTTGCCTCCTCTGCTGTGATGTACGGTATCTTCTTGTTTACGTATTATGCATGTTTCCTCTGTTGTGTGTGATTTGCGATTGCCTTTCAGAGACAAACTTCCTATATAATTTTACCAAATTCAAATGCACAATGAGAGTAATGCCTATACAGACCTCTGTCTGTAGGAAGCCCAGAGCGTCGACAATCTGCCTCTGGTGGTGGAGACAGAGCTTGGTCATGAACTCCTCCAGCGTGGAGGTAGACTGCAGGTCCCTGGCCTTTGCGGTACTCAGCTCCAGACATTCACTGCAAGACAAACAGGACAAGGATGTTTATATTTTTGTCATGAATATACACGTAGACTTACAAAAGTGTCCAAAAGCATATTACATTTATTTTCAATGGAAGTTATTAGAAGGAAAAAAATAAGTCAGACTCAAGGTTAAAACATATGAAGACCATACCACATGGATGATAATGAGAGTTATAGCTATCGGTAGGGTTGGGCATTATGCCTTGTATACCGGGGTATTTTGAAATACCCATGGTATGATTTCAATACAGTAGAATAATTTAGTTTTTAAAAAATAAATATGGATATTTCTACTTTTTCCAATAAATACCTGAAGTCAACTTGTGCACTAGGTTATAGATAAAGCAGATTGCGTTCTTAATTTCACCTGTTCGATTATTTTCCCATTATGACCAAAACAGCTGATTGAGCCAGTCGTGTTTGTTTACAAAGAAGCACAACCAGCAACAGAAGCTTAATGAGGCGAGTGATTCCTCTGCAGCGCAACATATTGAGGTGATCAATTTAGAAATTCACTACCTCATGTTTACCAGCTATACATCTTAAAACTATTAAGTAACTATCCAAGATATGCCAAATAAATTCTCTCCAGCTGTGTATGAAAATGTATGCACTCACTAACTGTAAGTCACTCTGGATAAGAGCGTCTGCTAAATGACTAAAATGTAAAATGTAAATGTATTTGGTTTGCTAACTAGCTAGCCAAGTGGCTAGCTTGCAATATCAAGCTTCTTGAATCTTGGTCACAGTAGAGACAATCCCCTCCTGGATTAAGATCCCTGCTGTCTAATATTGTTTTGTGTGTGCAGCAAACCGAGCAGCCTTTTGAGAAATGTGCATAACATGAGCTGGGTTGTTTGTCGTTGCAATTAGTTTGCATGCACTCGTTAGCATTTACCTAGCATCCGCTATGGGAATTCCTTAGTACTTGTTAGCATTTTGTTAACTGACGTTTTTTGGGCCATCTTTATGTTTTAAAAAAAAATAGCGCCCCTTGTATGCACCACCAGTAATACAATATAACCCAGGATGGCACAGGCACGATATGAAGGTTTGAAAATCTGGATAACGCCCAACCCTAGCTGTAGGTACTTAAAAAGCTGTCATACAGCAGGCTAAATGCATTAAGGCAAATCACTTTCCCCATGGAGATGAATAAAGTATTCACAGCACCCATCTAAATTAATTGTTTTCCTACAGTTCAGAAAAAAATGTTATGAAAATGCAACATACTCAGTTGGGCTAAGTGCTAAGAGAAAATGTATATGGAGATAAATGAGAAGGGAAAAAAAAAACTGCCAGGATATAAAACTGGGGAACAGTAACTGATCCATAATTCAATTAAGTTTTGTTTTTGTAAATCCCAAACCAAACGTATTGATTTCACTTGTCCATGTCAGCATTTCAAGCAGTCCTGGATATCCTAAAATTTTATCTATAGAATGAACATGGATCCATTACAAAAAAGAAGCAGTCATCATCATCAACATCAAAGCCCGTCTGTTGGTCCATCTTGGTGACACCATTCCCAAGTAATTATTTCATAAACAGAAACATGAGACTCATCATCCACATTGCTGGTGTAAAATGTTTCCATCTTGATACGATTGACACGCCATACAGCAACAAGAGTTAAGGCTGAAATATTGTGCTAGTTATATAAAAATAGAATTGAGTCATTAATTGGGTTGATATTGAGTCCTTTATTACCAGCCATGGTTTCTAAGTGTGTGGGAGGAATGACAACTCATGAGCAGTGTTAAATATGTCTTTAGCAAAATAAGAGTATTCACAGGGTGGGCCTAATGAGACATTTGAAAACGATGAGTATGAGCGTATAAATTAGATCCACAGCATTTAAAATGTATATTAATCTACTAATTATATGAAGCAACAACGAAAATCGAGCCAATTACGAAATTGTGAAAATACTACGCTTAAAAGTGTTTGTTTGAAAAAGACGACAGAGAACATTACATTTTCACATAAAATTTATTAGAAGAATAGGGGATTTTGAAAAGTGATTATTTTGTCCAGTGAATCTGACCTGTTACATTGTTACAGGTAATCTCTTTTTCAAAATGTTGTTTCTTTCCTTACAGGATACATCGAGTAAATTCTTACACATGCACAAAGACAATTAATCATTGGTGCCCCAGGTTCAATGCAACATACACAAAATCGAGATCATATCAACCACTTCAGTTTAAATATTATAAGGGATATATAAGAGGCAAAGTCATATTTTATTAAAGTTGTCAAATCAAAAGATGAAAAATTACCAGTGCAATCAAATTAACTTAGTGATCATTAAGTTCTCTCTACTACAAAGACACTTGACCATAGCCAAGAAGTTATAATAATAATAATAATTATTATTATTATTATACAAAAAAAAAATACATTCATAAATAAATTACAGTAGAAAAAAATGAGTCTGCCAAACTGTGTAAATGGCAATTATTGAAATGAGGTCCATTTAGGTTTAGGTGTACCTGTTATCTGAGCATCTGAATACATAAACCATTGAGACTAATGAATCCGAGGCATTTCACATGAAACCAAATTGCTTATAGCACACTAAAGCTGGAAATAAGGTATGAAATATTTGAATTCTATTATTTTTGAAAAGCCTCCCAATCCTTTCTGTTTGAAGTGTATGGTTCCAAGCATTGCAAGTCATCACAATTAGTCCACAGTATAGGGTTGAAAAGAGCTGCTTTCAAACGTTTTAAAAGGAATAACTTGCTATTACAGACTCCATATAGTACAGTCTTAATCTAAAAGCCGTAGAGCTGTTAAACCAAAGATAAGTAGCAACATGTAGACTACCAAGACTAGATCTAAGTCCAGTGGGCTTAGAGAGAAGGAATAGGAAGGACTGCTCAAAGAGAACATTAACAAAATAAATCTTCCCAACAAAAGGGAATCGTAAGTGAGAATCTCTTCATCTGTTCAATCGATACATACACAGAAAGACCTATTTTTTGACGATACCTTGCACTCAGAAGAATTGTGTTAAAAATCGGTAAAGGTTCGACTAACGAGGTGTCCATCTACATCAGTTTATAATTAGGCCTACCAAAATGCATGATTGAATGTATAACCTTTTTTTTTTTTTTTTTTTTCAGGATTCACATTTTCCACAGATGCTCAGAGAGTAGGTTCAAATGTATTATGTTAAACAGTAGTTAATTATCAACTGAGTGTGATAACTATGGTGTCTGAGGCACTGTGAGCAGGAGAGATAAATGCATCTTAAAAACCATGTTTGGCTAACATCTTACCTGAACAGAGTTTACATTGACATTCATTGTGTTTTAAAAAGAATAAGAAATAAACACTGCAGAGATTCAATTGGATGTTTTCTGGGTCTCAAACACGGCACCACCTTCAGTCAAAGAAAAAAAAAAAGCCCAAAAACAATCCACTTGTAAATTAGTATCTGACCCGTTTGTGTGTTTGTGGTATATATATATATTTTTTTTTACAGGACTTTAAGTCGCTGCTATGTCTAAGAGTGTGTAGACAGTACCTGAAGGAGTGTGGGTTGTGTTTTGTCCCTGAGGGTTTCCATGTCTCGCTCTCTCCACTTTTCCTTCAACATTGTGAGTTAAGATCTGACCACGGTAATCTGAATATATGTACATGACAATTCACACATATGTGTTTTCTCAACAAAAAGGGGGAGAGGAGCAGAAATAGAGCAAGAGACAACAGCAGCAAGAACAACAGAAGGGAAACATATTTCACAAACACATACAAAAACACACAGATGGAAATGCACCCGTGTATTTTACCTTATAATACGTAGAGGGAGTAAAAATGATTTAGCAAACATTAAGAACACATGGTATCCATGAGTTAGTTACACAAATCTTAAGTTGGCCACTGTATAGATCATGGCCGGTTGACTAAGAATTCAAGTCTCAAAGGTTGTCTGTGACAATAATTTGCCTTGCATACACCAGTGTTTTCAACCAGTCCACCTACAGGATCCAACCAATTCCACTTCACATATCCAACAATACAACACGTGCTGCCTTCAAGTCCACACACTGGCAATCATGCAAAATCTCATTCCATCATACACTTACCTAAATAGAAACAGGTATTTGGAAGTTGAAAAAAAAAAAAAAAAGGTATATTGAAGTTAATGTAATCAGAAATTGAATTAATATATAAGTCCTTTTATCAGTAGACAAAGCGAATTATATACAACAACCCCAAACTGTATGTACACATCAGCACACAGTCTTTAATCAAAGGCCTTTCTGAAGACCGTGTTTCCTATGGAACATAGACCATATCCTGGTCAACATCCAGTCAAAACAGAGGAATAGAAAATGAGAAAAGTAGTTTTGACATCAGCTGTCGCCTCCCTCCCTGGATCTGTGATAAGAGCGAAATATAAAACTACTATGTATCAATAAGCAATATATTTGTTTGTATATAGGAGGTTTTAATATACGGTGCATTCAGAAAGTATTCAGACTCCTTTCCTTTTCCCACATTTTGTTACGTTACAGACTTATTCTATTCTGAAATGGATGAAATAAAACATGTCCTCAATCTACACACAATAACCCATAATGACAAAGCGAAAACAGGTTTTTAGAAATGTTTACACATTTATAAAAAATTAACAGAAATACCTTATTTACGTAAGTATTCAGACCCTTTGCTATGAGACTCGAAATTGAGCTCAGGTACATCCTGTTTCCATTGATCATCCTTGAGATGTTTTTACAATTTGATTGGAGTCCACCTGTGGTAAATTCAATTGATTGGACATGATTTGGAAAGGAACACACCTGTCTATATTAGGTCCCACAGTTGACAGTGCATGTCAGAGTAAAAACCAAGCCATGAGGTTGAAGGAATTGTCCGTAGAGCTCCGAGACAGGATTTTGTCGAGGCACAGATCTGTGGAAGGGTACCAAAAAATGTCCCCAAGAACACAGTGGCCTCCATCGTTCTTAAATAGAAGAA